TTGTTAAAACTTGTTGTTTTATATGGAAAATCTTTTTGCAAAAATAACTATTGTTCAATTCTATTCTTATGACTCATCATTGTTAAGGATGGAAGAAAGCTAGTTGTTACTCGAAACGAATACACCAAGGACAAGAATATTGTTCAACAATAATTGTTTTCCACTTGATGAGTTTTTAACTAGAAATCTTCGTATTATTGTTTAACCCTTCGTTGTTCATGAATTCATTGGTCTTGAATAAAATACATTATGAAAATTCATCGTATAATATTTGTGTGAAATATTTTTTGATAAATTTTACATAGAAATGAAAAAACTTAATGCACGAGAAAATTCATTATTTTATTAAACCATGCTAACTATTTTTTGGCTTTAGATAACTTAATATTTTTTTAAATTACTAAAACTTTGTTAAAAAAAAAAACTTAGCATAATGTAAAATGAACATTATTCTATTAAAATATCAAGTAACAGAGTTTTGCGAGACATTGACTCGGAGAATGATTGTAATCATGTTCCTGTCATATTTTCTAAGGGAAAGAAACTTTTGACAACTTTTTCCACTCGTCAGATTTCTAATACGGGACCATCTCTTTTCCAAGGAGGCATCTTGTCCGTTCAGTTGTCGCTTCATTATTCACCCGCATTCTTAGAAAGGAGATTACAACGAGTGTCTTCGAAGGAATCTATCTATAAAAAGAACCATCAGCAATATTCGACTGAAGTATTCTTTGATCGATTCTTTTTGTACTAGAAATATCAAAATTACTAAAGCTTTCAAATTTAAAGTCTTAAAATGTCTCCATTACAGCACAAAAAATTATTATTTTGTAATCACAACGGTGTCCCGATGTTCGATACGAAGATTCACTTAAATAGAGATTGACTTCTCAATTATATTTAAGTTAAAAAATTATTTTTAACTTATTTTTAAATTATTTTTAATAATTATTTGCCGGTCAACATTTTCAGTAGTTATTTTTTATGACAGTATTCGTTTAGATATCCGATACGAGAAAAATTGGATATTGATAGACAGATATAATCTATAGATAGATCCGATAGACAGATTGACTTTTTAAATTTGATAAGTGATTGTTAACGTTGTTGGGCCAAACTTGTAACTAACTTAGGAACGTAGAATATTCTATCTCAAGCAGAGTGATTAACTTAAGATGTAAAGTAATACCACTGATCCTTGAGTTGGGTCGATGCGATTACCCCTATCGTAGTAACCGGAAGGCGGCTTCGGCTCTAACCCAATTAAATCGTTGCAAGCGTAATTCGTGTAGAATAGGCATCACACCTTACAACGAGAACAGTTTAGCTAAGTGACGACATTAATTGCTACTTGGAAATATATGTGCGATCGCTACACTCTAATTCACATTCCTAAATACCTAATGATCAACATTATACAAAAAAAAAATTACCAAATAGTTGGGTTAATGATTAATTCGATATATTTTAACCCTTATCGATCATCAGGTTTTCATATTGATTATTCTCACTTAGTTATAAGTAGTTAAATTATTAATTAATAAAATCGTAGATAGGCAAAATATATAATAGTTTTATCGCAGGAATGAGTGTGATAGGAATTCATAAATAAATAAATGTACACAAATTTACAACTTGCCTCGACATGACAATTCTCAAGAAATTGAGAAAAAATCCTAGACAAGAGAATACTTTATTTCAAATGAAAATTACACAATTATATAGTGATTTGAAGATAGATTAAATAGAGAAGGAAATAACTCAAATATGTTGCTAGGTACCTTTTTTCGCATGCTTGAGATCTTTCTTACCTTCGCTAATTGACTCCAGATAAACGTGGCCAAAACGACACGTGGTCAGTAAACGCGGTCAGAGCAATTCCTGATCTTAGCAGCGGCAAAAGCCGACTCGTGGTCAGGAAAAGGGCCTAACCCTTAGAATAAAGCTACATGAAGGGTGGCTGTACAGATTTCTTACCAAGGGTTAAATAGCACTAACACCACCATCATCAAATATAAAAATAAAAAGATTAAGTAAACTAATGAAAATAAATTGTTATCTCAAAACGTATATTCTTTTTCATATTGTTTAATAATTAATTATTTAAATAATCCCAAGAATAGAGTGAAAAAGATATTAAATTTTTATATTCATATAGAAGATTTTATATAAGTCCGAATTAAAAACAATATTTCTTTATATTCTAATTAATCATCACTTTGTATTTTAATTAATCAAAATAAAACGATTAAGTAAATTAATGAAAATAAATTGTTATCTCAAAACGTATATTCTTTTTCATATTGTTTAGTAATTAATTATTAAATATTCCCAAGAATAAAGTAATAATGTATTAAATTATTACATTCAAATAGATTTTATATAAGTTAAAATTAAAAATAATATTACTTTGTATTTTAATTAATCATTGCATATAAAAATGAAAGGATTTAGGAAAGTAATGATAATAAATTGCTAATTCAAGATATACACATAAACCAATATTATTTCATAATGTTAGATATTTATTAAATATCGAGAAAAGAACAACCAAAAAAGTAACTTAAGATGAAGTTATCGAAAAAGCTCGAAAAGAAGACGTTAAATCGGATAAAACGAAGTTATACTATTCGTCGTCGTTACGTTAAAAGAGAAGATCTCGTTTGTCAGCTTTTCAAATAGTATTTCTTTGTCTCGTTCGTAAAAGAGTGAGTATGACAAAGAGAGAAAGGGAAAGAGAGAAAGAAAAAGAAAGATCACGTTGGTAAGCCTGCTTGCTTCCTTGCTTGCTTGCTTGCTTGCTTGCCTTTCCAGAAAAGTCCAACGTTTTTACGGGGAAGTAAAAGTGGAGCGGAAGAATGCAGTAGCTGAAGGAAGAAGAAGAAGAAGAAGAAGAAGAAGAAGAAAAAGAAGAAGAAGATGAAGAAGAAGAAGAAGTTAGGTGCACCGAGTAACGGGAGAATGCATTTACCCTGGCGAGCCGATGAAAGGTCGAGCGAACTGCCCAGTGAAAGAGTAGAAGAAAAGGGATGAGGAAAAGAGAATAAAAACAGTCAGATCGAAGGGCATTAAGAAGAATTCCAAGAAAATAGCGTAAAGAATTCTCCATCGTGTACACCTATGAATCTACATATGTGTGTGTGTGTGCATGTGTATATCTATATAATACGTGTGTGAACACGTCCAAGTATATGTATATGTGTATCACTGTCCTCGAAAAAAAAAAAGTAACGTTAGATCGGGGTCAAAAGGAATACGAAGAAAATATTGCATTTTCTTGCAATGCGGAAAAAATACTTACGCGTTATTCATCGAAAAGAAGAATTTCTTTTCTTTTTGTTGTTTGTTTTGTTGTGTGTTTCTTCTCTTTTTGTAATTGCAAAGTCGACGAGAAAGTTTTCTACAGTCGGTTAAAAATGCATTTGGTTCTTCTATTTCTTAATTTTTTGTTTTCTTTTGTTTTCTTTCTTTACTTTTCTTTTTTCTTTTTTCACTTTAGACAAATTAGAGGGAAGTTTGTGGTCAGAAAAAGAAGAACGGAATGGAAATACGAGAATCATTTAGTTTGTTTTTTTTTAGTTTTGTTTTAGGATAAATGTTGAGATGTACAGAAGAATTTCATTCGAAAAATTAATTAATGACTAGGAAAAAAAAGGGAATTTCGGGAAGAAAAGAAATAAAACAATATTTCTTTGGATGTTCTTTCGTATTTTTTTAACTTCGTTTTCAGGATAATAATGAAATGTAATAAAGTCTATGCGAAATCAGGATTTAGGCATAAAAATTAATCAGAAAAAGAAAGAAAGAGAGAGAGAGAGAGATAAAGAGAGAGAAAGAACTTTTTGTCAGTCTACCAATGATTAAAGGAAATACAACGAAAAAGCAAATGAAAATAGAAATAAAAGTAAATGTTACCTAGATTTTCCTCGTACATCCCTGCTCTATTTTTGTATATAAAAAATGTCATTCGAAATCAGAATTTAGGTATAAGAATTAATGAACAAAAGAGAGAGAAAGAAAGAGATAGAACTTTTTGTCAGTCTAGCAGTGATTAAAGGGAATACAGGGAAGAAACAAATGAAAATAGAAATAAAAGTAAATGTTACCTAAGTATTTTCTCGTATGTTTCTCACTCCACTTTTCGATGTAAAAAATGTCATTCGAATTCAGTATCAATTTACGTATAAGAATTAATGATTAAGAGAAAGAGAGATTTTGTTATAAGTTCAACAAAGATTAAAGGAAAATTCAATGAAGAATCAAAGGAAACTTCAATGAAGAATCAAAAGAAACTTCAATGAAGATTAAAAGTAAAACGTTACCTATGTGTTCTTCTTCATTCTTTCTTCGTTACTTCATTTTTGACTGTAAAAAGAAAAAAAGGAAACAAAAAATCCATCTCATTCTCTAAATCAGATCGTAGGCATGGAGTTTGTAACAAAAAAGAAGAAGTAAAAAGAGATATAGAGTTAAAGTGAATTAAAAAGAAAAAGAAGAAAGAATTATCTTTCGTGCACTCTTGTTCCTTCTATCTGTAAAAATTTTCGAATCTTAATTGCAGAGGAATGGTGTTTAATGGCGTGAAATATTGGTTAGAAAAAGATGCTGACTCTTGTCGCAACCGAGAAAGCTTTTAATCCGTTGGTGGAGGAACTTGTGTGAAAAAATGCTGACCCACTGATTTCACTGCCAATCCGTTAGAGAAACGCGCAAGAGAAGAACGGCGCTTTTTGAAAATAGTTTAACGTGAGAATAGAAGAGAATAGAAAGAAAGAAAGAATAGAAAGAAAGTAGAAAAAGATGATAAAAGAGAAAAAGTGACAGACAGTGAGACAGATAAAATACGAGATAGAGAGAGAGAGAGAGAGGGAGAGAGAAAAAAGGGGAGAAGGAAAAGCGCGGGATATGCGCGTCAGGGCCGTAACTTGGGGTTGGTATTTAGTGGGGCGCAGGCGTCGGAAAATAGGAAAGGATCCCCTCAGTCTTCGAGCGAACCCGATACGCGCGGCTTCGCTTCACTTCGTTTCGCTTTCCATGTGGAGTATCGAAAAATCCATTACTCGACTACTAACTTTCTTTCTCACGCGTATCTTCCCCCTCCCACTCCTCCTTCCTCATAACAAAATCGTATTACAATAGATAAACTATACTTCTTCTAATAATAATCTATGTACATTTAATACACGTATTCCTAATACCTAATAATAAAAAACAAAAATTAAAAAAAAAAAAAACAAATAAAAAGCATACTTAGGCATAATTTTTGTTTTTCAATTTCATCAATAATTATTATTTTATTTTGTAAATATAAATCGTTGTTTTCTTCTTCTTTTTCTTCTTCTTCTTCCTAGATTTTATCTCTTCTTTATTCCAAACTACTTTTATTATTTATCATTTATATATTTGTTTTTTATTTTTTTTTTTTTATTAAGAGAAATCATTTTTTTAATCATCCTTTTTTTAAAATAAAGAATCTTACTTTATTTATTATAACTTGTCTTATGTGTTACACGTTATATTAGTATCTTTTTAAATTTCTAATTGTAATTTTGTACTTTACTCGAATTTTAATTTGGTTTTAATTTTTTTTTCTTTTATTTTTTAAGTAAAGAAATTAGGAGATACTGTCAAGTAGTAGTAAATTTTCTGTCTCAGTATGACCTGACCGAACCGTGCTTAGTAACAAATACACTGTAATTAACTCTTTCGATAATAGATTAATCATTTCGTAGCGAAATACGGTTGAGTAATTTCAAGTGCGTCGGTAATATTCGCTGACGCGTGTTAAATAATTAACGTGAACTCTCTCTCTCTCTCTCTCTCTCTCTCTCTTTATTTCTTTCTCTCTCTGTTTCTCTCTCTATCTCTCTCTCTCTCTCTCTATCTCTCTCTTTCTCTCTCACTCTTTCACTTTCTCGCTCACTCGTATGAATATATTTTGAAATATTGTGATAATAGTTTAACCAAATTAGATCGTGCTTTTATTATTATTATTATTATTATTATTATTATTATTATTATTATTATCATCATCATTATTATCATTATATGTAAAGAATAAAAAAAATTAAAGCGTTTTACTTTATATTTGACAAAATTTAAACGAAAACTTCAAACATGAAGAAAAACAAATTGTAATCTGAAGAAGAAGAAGAAGAACAGTAACAAGGAACAATTTTGGGAAGAAATCATTGATACAATAGAAAAGGAAGCATTTGTACGAAGGTAAGCAATCAAGTATACTCCATAAACGAGTACGTACTTAAAATTTATAAAAAAAAGAAAAAAAGAAAAAAAACTTTCTTTATACTTGAGTTACTTTTATTCATCTTCTGAGATCTCACTTGAAACGAAAGGAAAAAAAATGAAAAGACAAGAAAGAAAGAAAGAAAGAAAGAGAAAAAAGAAAAATAAACTTGAGAGGTTTAGTTAAACCACTTTTCGTGTACTCGACACTTTTTATTATAATTCTTAAGAACGATCGATAACCTACCCTTATTGGTGTGTAATAACTCGAAGTATGGTTGGGGTAAAAAAAAAATGACAAAAAGAAAGGAAAAAAAAGGAAGAAGAAAGTTTAGCATTTAAGAGTCCAAAAATTTTTTTTAGATTAATTTTAGTAATTTATAATATTTTATAGGTCAACAGAGCTACGTGTTTGAAAAGTTAACAAAAATTTTATTTCGTGTAAAAATGTATTCTTACTTTTTTAGGTAAACATTTAATTTAATATCTTCATTTTTTATTTTTTTTTTTTTTTTTGACATTTAGAAGTTAAATTTTATTAAAGATGATTATAATATAATTGAATTGTATAAACAAATTAAATTAAAAAATAATTTAAATGTTTCTTACAATTATTATTAAAGTTTTCAAAATGGTGTGATAAATTAGGATGTTTGGTAATTTGAAAAGATCGAAAATCCTGTCGTCACAATAAAAGTAGTTCGAAAGCATCAAAAGAAACTTCAGTTCTTTAAGTAGAAAGAGAAGGAAAGAGAGAGATAGAGAAAAAGAGAGAGAGAGGAGAGAAGAGAGAGAAAGATATAGGAGGATTGGACTTCGACGTTAGAAGTTGAGTTATGGCTTTTTCATTCTCCCCTTTTAAAAGACGTTTAGAATCCTCTCTGGCACGTAAGGGCACACAGGATTGGTTGCTCAGGCACTGTGTGGCCAAGAAGAAAAATGAAGTGTTCGAGTATACCTAAATGGAATGAGAAATAGAAGCAGAAAAAGGGAAAGAAAGAGAGAGAGCGAAAGATGGGAAATTATTGATCTCTAAAAAGCAAATACGGGTTCGAAAAGGATGGAGATTCTTCACGGCGTGACGTGAAAAGCAAAATGAAAGAACCCCCGTGACAAATTTCTTTGAAACGAGTCACGAGCCTCGTACAAGAACCGCAAGTACAATTACTAACACAAATACGAGTTACAACCACGGGAGTTAAACGTATGCAGATTTATTACTGCTAGTGAAAAAAAAAAACAGAATAAAAAAAAAAAAAAAGAAAAAAAAAGAAAGAAAAAAAGAACTTAGGTAGTTATGCTTGCCTCAGGTTGCTGGAAGCTATCAAAAACGTTCTTACTTTCGTGGATAAAGACGTCAAGATATACAAACACCCATATACAGCGACATTTATATCGTGTCAGGTAAAAACTGTCTTTGTATTTTAATGTAAAAATGTTTTCTTTTTCTTTTTTTTTTTTCATATTTTATATACGACCACCTCCAAATTATTTAAAACATTTTTCTGGTCGACGTCATTTACTCACGTCATAATTTTGTTAACTTGCATAAATTTTGTCCAAAAATTCATCGATTTTTCCAACTATTAGTCGATCAAAGTTCTTATGTATCTTTGAAATTAAAATTTCTAAATAAAAAAACGTTTGAACGAATTTTGCACAATCCTTACCAATACCGTGAACTTAATTTAATTACTTCACGATATATCACCTTTCAAATCTACTCCAATATTATTGACTTATTAGTAGTACGACCAGAGATATAAGATTATAAAGTAATTTACCGAATAAAATACGAGGAAACTTTTTCCCTAAGTCTGGGATATATCGGAATGATGTGGGTACGTTGTAAAATCGAGGATTAACGTGGGAATTTTATTTTTTTAACGACTTTCAGTAGTACGATACGTGCCACGGGACACTCGAGAACTAAGAAAAAAAAATATCTTTCTAGTAACAACGTTACTACCACTGTAACACCTTTACCTTTACTGCAAATGTAACTGCAACTACAACTGCTGTTGCAAATGCAACGAACGCGATGCTTTCGCGAAAAATAATAGGGAATCCAATTACGTATGAGCCAGTGGCACATTTTCGTAGAAAATAATGTCGAAAGTACCTACCTCGTTACACTAACGAAAGGATTAGGGGGTCGAAAGGTGGAAAAGGAGGAGAGGAGTTGGGGGTGGGGGCTTACTGAAAAAGTAGGAGAAAAAGAGAGTGCAATCAAGAACTTTACTTGTAGATTTTTAATCGTCATAGTAATCAACGAGTTAACTGCCGTAGAAATCGTAACGAGTTTCGCGTAGTCCAAACGGGGTAAAAGAAAGCTTACTACTGTTCGACTCGATTTTCCCTACCATCTTGTCTCTTCTTTCTCCTTCTTTTCCTCCTCCTTCTCTTCTCCTCCTCCTCCTCCTCCTCTTTCTTCTCATCCTACGACTACTACTACTACTACTATTACTTTCACGTCTAATTATCTCGACTTACTGCTGCACTTTTAATTAGACATTCATTGTACATTTCCGGTCATAAAGTTTAGACCTGCGTTACGTTTATTGTAACTAAATGAATACTACTACTACTACTTATCGTTCTAGCAATTCACGACTAGATTAGTTATATTTCATTAGGCTTTTTCTTTTTTTCTTTCCTTTTTTTTCTTCCCTCTCTCTCTGTCTCTCTTTCTTTCTTTATTCAGTAGGGTTAAGCAACAAATAATGCAAAGTTAATTTGTAAAGCTCCTTATTATGTTTTTATTACAAAATTTTAATTTTTTTTTCTATGCACTTCGATAAATATAATATAATTCACGATAATTTTATCTCAATAAAAATTTAATAATATTTTATATTTAAATAATCTAACGTCTAAAAAAATATTTCGTTGAACTTACAATACTTGTCAGTATTTTATATTTAAATAAATAAATTTTTATTTATTTAAATTTTCTTTTTTTTGCCATCCCAATATGTTTTTTTCTTTTTTTTTCTTTTTTTACTTTTTTTTTTTACTTTTATTCGTATAGAAATATATTTCTTCAGAAAACATAATTTGTGTTATTTTGTTAACAATATAATCGCTTACCTTAAATATCGACACAATTTCATGTTTCCGTTATAAATTACATAACGATCGATTCCCACCTCTCTCTCTCTCTCTCNGTTATAAATTACATAACGATCGATTCCCACCTCTCTCTCTCTCTCTCTCTCTCTCTCTCTCTCTCTCTCTCTCTCGCCCATAACCATTCTACATTACTCGACAAAGAAAAAAGACTCCACGAAAATATAAATGATTTGACCCGAAAGTGTCGTTCGATTTAATAACCGTCGGACGTTCACTACGTGACTAGATTTCTCTAACACAGAAATTCTCTACTATAGAGGGGGAGGAGAGGGTAGGGGGCAATACCAATGGCCTCGAAAGCTCTCATTTTGAAACAATTTTTTTTTCTTTTTTATACAAAAAGAATGTCTAACTTTTATAAGTCTCTTTCTTTCTTACTTTCTTTCTTTATTCCTTTTTCTCTTTTTCTTCTTTTCGTTTTTTGCTCTATCACCAAATCTTGTTAAAAAGTCGTTGATAAAACTTTCTTAAACAAATTCATTGAATTCGAGAGAGAGAGAGAGAGAGAGAGAGAGAAAGAGAGAAAAAAAGTAAATCGTCCGAGAAGGAATAAATATTTTTAATATCTATGAATTTTCGTCTCATTTGAATTTACAAACAGGAAAGAGATAGGAGGAAGAAACTATTACTCGGTGCATATGTATAATATATATTACACCCACAGATATATATATATATATATATCCTCATGTAAGTAACGTGCGGAAACATTCGTCAACATGCAAATGCAAATGCAACGTGTGCAAATTTCACGTACAATGTTACGTGAAATCACTTGACGACATTTACATGAGAAATATTCTATTTGAGATATCGTTCAACTTTTAGATAAGAGTGGAATTTACAGGGTGTTTCGTATAACATATATATACATATATATATATATATATATATATATATTTCTTTTAGTCTATCAACGATAACAATCAAATTATTTAAATGGTTTGTATTAAATAATTCATCCTGTATATGCTCATGTTATTTGAACAATGATGCCAAGTTTTATGTAACGAACAAAGATAAAAAATTAAAAAAAAGAATATAATGGAAATCAGTGTCTTGTTGAGTATAAAAGCGGGACAAAACTAAAGGTAAAATTAAATGGTGTTTCTAAACCCTTCATGTATCTTCCCCATCGTCAATTTCCGTTGGATATTCTTTCGCTCATTCACTGATTCGTTCATTCGTTCGTTCATTCGTTCATTTGTTAGTTCGTTCGTTCATTCGCTCATTCATTCGTTCATTCATTCGTTTCTTCGTTTGAGTAACGAACATTCAACAACTATCATCGACCGAGTAATCCCTTCTAGCGCTATCGTTCGTTCCGTCACGGAAACGAGAGACGCAAAGTAAACAGCTTAATTCTCTCTCTGTCCATCTTCCTTGGAATTTAATTACAACGTTGAATTCCCTTTCTACCGCATACAATTGCTATTTTCATCATTTAAAAGGCAACTATTTTTCAATACTATTCTAACAATTCTAGAAATTAATTATACTTAACTGTACAGATAAAAATTGTTTGACATTATTGATTATTTTTTTGTTAACTATATATAATATTATTGTTAACTAAATAAAATTTTGACATTATTGTTTAAACTTACTTTTTCATTAAATAATAATATTAAAAATATTTTTAAATATTCGTCTTGAGAAAATTATTTTTTCTTCTTCTTTTTTCAAAAGAGTGTACTTCTCGATATAAATTATAAATAAAAATTCTTAACCTATTAACCGGGCGTAACGTATAAATACGTCAAACGTATTTTACGTATTTTATATATAAATAAAATAAAAAATATATATTTCGAGGTAAATGCATAAATTAAATATATCATCCAACC